TCTTTTTTGTATGTTAATTTATATTGTTGAATGCTTCCGTTCGAGCCCCATATGTTATGTATATCAGGTTAAGTGTCCGGTTCCGAATAGGTCATGCCCAAACTTTTAGGGGGCGAGTTTGGGGCGTGACAAATGAAATCACAAATTTTATATCTTATAAGGGCAAAAAAGACATTACACAGTAAAAAGCTATTTTACAACTTATTCAACTAAACATTACTCTACTAATTAAATCTATAATCCCACAGCTGCACCAAACAAGTTTATAAGCTGTTAAACCATAATCTATATTTTTACTTTATGCATTTTTGTATTTTCATAATTTTTGTTTGGGATTTTTATTGATAAATCTCATTTAGAAGTGTTTTAACCCAAAAAGTCCATGAAGAAATTTATTAACCCATTTAGTCCCATGTATGTATAGTTTTATTCCATAAAGTCATTTTTCTTGATTTACACTCTTTTTTTAGACTCTTATGCCCTTATATTTAATTTTGATACCCTTACAAATATTTTTTGAACGGTTAGCAATTTTATGATATAAATATTCATATTTTAACATTCACATTGGTAAGAATGTAAAATTGACCCGTGGGCGGTCCAAAGATCGCCCCCGGGCCGGGGTGGGCCCGGTCCGTTGACAATGTGAATATTCACATTGACATGTTCACATTCACATCGATAGAGGTGTAAAATTGACTCGCGGCCTGTGGGCGGCCAGAAACCCGCCCGTGGCTCGTGGGCTGCCCGGGGCGGGCTCGGCCCGTTGACAATGTGAATATTCACATTAACATATTAACATTCACGTTGATAGAAGTGTAAAATTGACCTGCGGCCCGTAGACGGCCCGAAACCCGCCCGCGGGCCCGGCCGACCCGTTTACAATGTGAATATTCACATTGACATGTTAACATTCACATTGATAGGAAATGTAAAATTGGCCCGCGGCCCGTGGGCGGCCTGAAGCCCACCCGTTGCCCGGGGTGGGGCGAGCTGTAAATATTCATATTTTAACATTCACATTGGTAAGAATATAAAATTGGCCCCTAGCCTATGGGCGGTCCGAAGCTCGCCCCCTAGCCGTGGCGGGCCCGATCCGTTGAGAATGTAAATATTCACATTGACATGTTAACATTCACATTGATAGGAGTGTAAAATTGGCTCGCGGCTTGTGGGTGGCCCAAAGCCCGCCCGTTGCCCGGGACGGGGTGGGCTGTAAATATTCATATTTTAACATTCACATTGGTAAGAATGTAAAATTGGCCCGTGGCCCGTGGGCAGTTCGAAGCTCCCCCCAGGGCTGGGCGCGGGCCCGGTCCGTTGACAATGTGAATATTCACATTAACATGCTAACATTCACATTGATAGAAGTGTAAAATTGGCCCGTGGCCCGTGGGCGGCCGGAAACTCGCTCGCGGCCCGTAGGCTGCCCGGGGCGGGCCCGGCCCGGTCCGTTGATAATGTGAATATTCATATTAACATATTAACATTCACATTGATAGAAGCGTAAAATTGACCCGCGGCCCGTAGGCGACTTGAAACCCGCCCGCGGGCCTAGCCCATTTACAATGTGAATATTCACATTGACATGTTAACATTAACATTGATAGGAGTGTAAAATTGGCCCGTGACCCGGAGTAGGTTCGACTTGTTGACAATGTGAATATTAACATTGATAGGAGTGTAAAATTGGTTCGCGGCCCGTGAGCCACCCGAAGCCCTCCCGCGGCCTGTGAGCCACCCGAAGCCCTTCTGCGGTCTGGGGCAAGCTCGTTTGGGCCCGGGCTCGAACCCAGCCCGAGAACTTAGGCTAGGACTTGGGCCATCACTTTGAAGCTCGGCCCGCATAAGGCCCATTTAAGGCTCGGCCCGAGGTCCTGCCTGCCAAAGGCCCGGTGTCTTTTTTTTGGAAAATAATAAAAATTTTGGGAGAAAAAATTAAAAATAATTAAAAAAAATTGCGAGGCTCACCTAAATCCGACCCAAGCCCAAGTCTAGGCCCAAGCCCCTTGGCTCGATAGCACCCAAAGCCTGAATACTTTTGTGCCAGGGCTAGGGCCTAGGCCTAATTTTTTTGGCCTGTGGGCCAGTCCGGCTCGGCCCAAATTTTGGCAAGTACCCACGAGGCTTTACATGGGTTGGCCCTGGCCCGGGCTGGGTCGAGCCCCTACACATTGATGATATGAACATTTACATTGACGATGTGAACATTTACATTAGGGGTATTTTGGTAATTATGTCACCCATAGGATGTGAACACTCACATTAGGGGTATTTTGGTAATTATGTCACCCATAGGACTTATTGAAACATAAGAAAATAATGTGGACTAAATGGAACATAAGTAGATAAAAAGGGTATTTTGGTTTTCTTACCTCAAATAAGAATATTCACATTGACGGTGTGAACATTTATATTAACAGTGTGAACATTCACATTGACGATGTGAACATTCACATTAGGGGTATTTTGGTAATTATATCACCCATAGGATGTGAACATTCACATTAGGGGTATTTTGGTAATTATGTCACCCATTGGACTTATCGAAACATAAGAAAATAATATGGACTAAATGGAATATAAGTAGATGAAAAGGGTATTTTGGTCTTCTTACCTCAAATAGGACCTAATGGAATAGTCAAAAAGAATATGGATTGGATGAAATAAACCTCTTAGAAAAAGGATTTATAAAAAAAACTTCCTTTTTATTTTTTTAACTTTATTAAAATAGAAGTCAATATAATTTAATTATTATTTTTTAATTATTCAATTGCTTGTTTAAAACCTAGTATTATAGAGAAGAAATGGAAAGATGATCACTCTCAAAGTCCCACGAAGGATTGAAACTCATATTTCTATTATTGAAATTAGAGACCGTACCACAGACGTATAAAATCATGAGTGACCACTTACCACCTTAAAGTTGGTAAAGTAATTCTGCACATAAAAAAAAAAAGAAAAAAAAAGAGCACATTCCACCAATTGAGACCCCAACAATGCTACAGATTACTAAATTTTTATCACTAATACCATCACTAATACTATGATAAGTAAAAAATAAAAAAAAAACAAAAACTAAGATGCAAAACACATGTGACAGTAGGTAAGACCTACTACCACATCCCTAATGCAACCACTAATTAATAGTCTGCATCATTTTCATTGAGACCCGTGCCAACAGACCGTGAGAATAATTTTTAATTCTGGCTTTCAACCATTGTTCTTTATATTTATTAATTTTTTTTTTTTTTAAATTTTTATAAGGTATGCCGTTTAGCTATGTTAGACAAAAAAAATTACAAGAGAAGTTTAAAGAAAATAATCTATTGTAAATTGAAAAATACACAAATGTTAGAGATTTTAAAAAAATTATTAAAAATTTTATATAATAAATACATAGATGTGAATCTAAAAATCTTATATGGTGCAAGTCTCATGTAAATATTTAGTAAAAGATTTAATATATTTTTTTAAATATTTAGTATTACTCTAAAAAAATATTCGTAGTGGTAAAAGGACCAGCCTAGAAATATTCATAGTGATGAAAGGACCTGGCCCAAGGGTAAAATCATTTAGACCGTGCAACACATTCCCAACTCCAGAGTATGAGACTTGAATATTCATAGTGATGAAAGGACCTGGCCCAAGGGTAAAATCATTTAGACCGTGCAACACATTCCCAACTCCAGAGTATGAGACTTGAACGAGTTGAATTGGGAGACTTCCTGATAGGTACACTTTTGGTTGATAATGGATGGAACAAGAAAACGTTTCACATACCCAGAAGCTATTTGGCTAGAAATTGAAGTCATGGTAATGATCAGGATGGTGTAAAATATCACTTAATTTGTTAAAATTATACTGATTCGCATCAATCTGTACCATTTTATCTGTTAATCGCTGTTTAAATTTTAAAACGTTCTACTCCACTATAATTAATACATATATATTTTTTTAACATATAATGAAATATCAGAGTAAAAATGAATGAAAGAAATTTAAGATGTAAAATTTATTATAAATTAGTAGTTATATATATAAAAAATATTATGTAAAATTAGTTTGTGTTAAATATATATATAAAAATATTATGCAAATTAATGTTACATATTATGCAAATGCTTGATAATTGGTTAAAATTTTGTTTAATCCGCCAATCTGTCCAAAATCGTTCAAATCGCAATTTGTCAATCCGCTAATCCACTCTTTAGTTTATAATTTTACTCTCGAAGTATCTGAACCATACCACGAACACCCCTAATCATGATGATGGATATTTTCTTCATGGGATGAGTTGTTAAAGTCTTTAAGTTTTATATTTTATATTTTATTATTATTATTATTTTTTTGTATGAAAAGACTTCAGAAAAAAAAATTATCAAAAGATTCTATTCTCATCATGATTCGTGAAAATAACCCATTGGAACTCATACGACACAAGCCTGAATGAAACTCACTGATATTTATTGACCTAAAATTACCAATACACCCCTTTGCCCGTCCTCTATTTTATTATTCATACTTGTATTCGTATTTCTCCTGACGTGTTTTCATGTGATGAGCACAATTGCTTGCCAATCAAATCTCATACTTCATCAACCTATAAAAATCAATTTTGGAATTTTTGTTGGCCCAACCAAGTAAATAGAAGTTTGTATTGGAATAGTAAAATAGAACACTAATAAATTATGTTAGTAGAGATAAGACAATCATTTTGTTAGTTAAAAAGTTAAAAATTCAAGAAAGTTGTCAAATGCTTGTGCCTTTATTTAACTTTGTGAGCTGATTTTTAAGACGGTGACAAACGGGTGCACCATGTGATGTAAGCACCACGAAACAAAGCATCTCAGCCTAATTTTCCCAAAAATGTAAGGGCGTATTGGTCATTCTGAAGGAGGAACTTTGAAACAAACAACTAGTGATATTTTGATGCTACAATATCACCAAGACAGTGTATATGTGGAAGCTTATGGTTGGCAGTCACCTGATAAGAAGGGTGTGTTCACAAAGCATCACAGCCCTCAATTATATCATCATACTCTCCTCACATCACAACAATAGCACCACTACTTCCAACTGCAAACAGTTATTAACCATGGCAACAACAATTGCTGGTGTGATCCTCTCAACCCCAAGAGTCTTGGCCAAGGCCTCAGACCCACCAAAGGCCCTGACCATCAAGTCTCCCTGGCTGAACCATCCCTGGAAGAGGTCCAACCAATTTGGCATGGGCTGGATGTATGTCCGACCCGTGGCTGCAGCACCAGAAGGGCTGTCAGAGAAGGTGGCTGAGAGCATCAAGGGTGCAGAGGCGGCCTGCTCCGACGACCCGGTGAGTGGAGAGTGCGTGGCAGCGTGGGATGAGGTGGAGGAGCTGAGTGCAGCGGCTAGCCATGCAAGGGGCAAGAAGAAGGAGACCGACCCACTGGAAACTTTCTGTAAGGATAACCCGGAGACCGATGAGTGCCGCACTTACGATAATTGATGATGATAATTGATGCTGATGCCATGCTCTCTCGCATTTCTTATTACTGAACTTCAGTCTTCATGTTGATTTTAATTGTGAGTAATTACCATGTATACTGCACTGAATGGTACATTGGTTGATACCTAGTTGTTATAATTCAATCTTATGTTTATTCTGCTTTTAGTATGGACAAATACAAAATTTACAACCACTGGATTGGTTTATAGACTAGTGGTTTTCTTTTCTTTTCTTTCTTTTCTTCCAGTTGATTAGAAGTCATATATAAAATAATGGGAAATTAGTACATACCACAAGAGCATACCCAGACAACCCATACAAGAAGCAACCAACTCCAGACCATTCAACCTTACAACCAGAGCTACAAAATAACAAGAATCAAACTAAAGCAGATCAAAAGCTAAAGCCTAGTCATGTCCACAACAAATAACCAAACAAACCACAAATCATAAAGCAGTAAATTTACGAAAAACAAAATACTAGGAATCCAGCAACAGATTTTTAATGATACAATTCAATCTTAGTAGTTTTCACTGCCAGTGTTCCATGTAATATTTTTCAAGGTGAGTTTGGGTATTCATTCAATTCTCTTAAAAGTTCCTATTAACCCAGATAACCCAGCGCCCATGAAGAATATTTTGTGTCATCGTGGGGACAGATTGTAGTTTGGAACTGAATTTGTTCTCAGTTGATAGCTGGAGAAGCTAAAAAGATGAAGTGCATGTGTGATGAACCTCCATGTAACTATAATACATATGTGCATGTTTATTTTAAGAACATGAGGAACTTCCTTAGCAACTTACCTGGGCAACCGCATCTCAACCAAATTCTCTGGGTAGCATGTTAGTCGTCGTCGTTGTCTTTTTTTTTGGGGATCTTTTTTCTTTTTTCATTAATGTTTTTCTTCCTGCTCCATCAGAGGAGTAGTGGAGGAGGTTATGGGAGACCTGGATGCAACAGCCATCATTACTTCGAACTGGATGCAAGTCAAAGAAGTACAAAGTTGTATGTTATTTCCAGAAAATATCACAAGTGGTACCCCGCCAAATTCAGATATTTTCTGCAACCAAACATTCTAGCTCACATTCATAGTAACGACAAAAGTTCTTGTAGCCGATAGTCGTTTCTACTTGCTTGAGACATAAAATTAGGTGTAATTTAACTTGATAAACATCCAAGCTCACATCACTCAAGCATCTTAAAACAAATGGCAAGCAAATTTAATTTGACATGAAGAATCACACACCTTACTTGGGTTAGCAATGCCACCCATTCAAAGTAACCATACTCAACAAACAAATCAAGTTAACTTCATGTATACCAATATATCTTGGACTCTTCACCATTTTGTGGGAATTAGACATCTACACTTCAGCGTAGAACGTCAACGGCTCTGAAAAATTGAACTGAATTTCTCTACTTCCTAGTTCCTACCAGTCACGGGAAGGATCCAAATTTATATATACCATACTCCCACAAAAAAAATGCCTACACTTGCGCATTACTAGCAACCACAATACATAAATCAACTACCACATACCATGTAAGTATATAAAATAACCAATTTTTAGACATTCAAAAGAACCCCAAAAGGACATAGAAAGTCTGATCTAAGTATAATCCCCTATTTTAGACACTAAAACAAAAAAAACTTAACAGTTAAAGCAGACACGTATTAATGTCTTGCAAATTAAAAAATAATGAAACTAACTTCAAAACCACGAAAACCAGCCTACATAGACTCACTTTGCCTTAACTTAATGTTGATGAAAGTATTCAGCACTGAAACATGTTTGCGGACGCTGCAACTGTCTGTACTGAACAAGGGAGTTGCCATGGTTCCAGCAAAGTATCTGGAATTTCAGGAATGTCAATGGCAAATCCGCTAACCTCCTCTGCAACCCGAAGCACCGAGTTCAAAGAGCATAGCCGATCAGTCAATTCGACAAGTTGAGCCCTCAGGACATTGTTCTGAGACACAAGCTTGATGTACATGTTATCAACCTTATTGACCTTCTGTTCAATAAGCTTGTTCCCATTTTGCAACTGGGTCACTTGGCTGATCAGACCGTCCAAATGCTGCTGCTTCTTCATCCGGGACCTCCTAGCCGATTCCCTGTTGGATATCATTCTCTTCCTTTTCCTTTCATCAACTCCAGCATACCGTAGGTCCTCATCAGATCCTGGACTCACCGGCTGCTTCGTGGAAGCCATTTTTTCCCAATATTTTCCCGGAATCACCAAATGATTTTGCTTAAACTGTTTGTAATTTTAATCGATTTTAAACTTTCCCTCCAGATAAGTGAAAAATTGGGTATTTACAATTGATTGTGAGGATTAGGGTTTTGAGAGTTGAGTAAGAAAACTGAGGACTTGAAACAAAATAAATAAATAAATAAATAATGGAATGAGATGACTAATTCATGAAATCACGTAGAACCAGTAAAGGAACACAACCGAGAATGAATGAAGGATTCGAATCCGACGCATGAGAATTGCGTAATTCATTAGCAATATGCCATCATTGAAACAATTTTTTTGAGCCACAAACTCACAATAAAAATAAAAATCGAGTCGATATCAAATCAGTTGATGATACAAACCCTGTATGTATCTGAATCGGAAACGCTATTTCCAGATTATCTGCAAAAAAATACACACAGAGAAAGCAAAATAAGCAATCGATCAGCAGCAACCTATAAAGTTTAATATTTTTTACAAAGAGAAGATAAAACAAATCAGCAAATAAAAAGAAAGGAAACAAGAGCCAGAGGACTGACCTGATAAAAACAAAAAGAGATGATGGAAACCACAATGCTTGAATGGAGTAATTAACAGGGTTTTCCCGCAATTATAAGTAACGCTGTACTACATACATATGTTTGCTATCAAACTATATATGGTAAGTTTAATACCTTCTAAAATATTAATTCTTTATTTTATTTTTTATTATCTCAAAATATTAATTTATTTTTAAAAATTAAAATTTAAAATAGCATAATTTTTTTATTTTTAAATTTATTAACATTAATATACATAAAAACATAATTGTATTAATTGATATTCTTAAAAAATTAAAGTTAATTTTAAAAAATTAATATTTTTAAAGTGTAATAATTATATTATCAAAAAATAATTAAATTTTTCAAAAGTGACTAGTATTTTGAGACGAAGAAAGTAATAAATCTTGTTTGGCATCTCTTAAATAAATGTATTTATTTAGATTATATCACCTCTCTACTTTTTTATATATCTGTTTGTAAAACGTCACACAATGATCATCTCAAATAATCCATAAATATTATTATTGTGATCTTTTTTTTTTTTTTTTTTTTGAGCAAACCAAAATCGTATATAGAATAAAAGAACATTCTACAATATATATCTTTTATCATATGCATCCTTAGTTATACTATTTTATTTTTTAATTATGACCAATTTTTTGATATATGTGATTATACCTTATACAATGTTTAGTTTTTTATTAGTTATAATTCAAAAAGTATAAAATTATGCCAAATAATATATATCATAGTGTTCAACACAACACCTAACAGCACACAAACCAAACAAGACATAAAACAGCCTAATACACATATCTAAACAGAAAACAACCATCACACATCAATCCCAAAATCATCTTACCACTACTATCTTTGCAAGAGTATGAACGAGATGAATCCCATTGACAACTCGAATCAAGTTGAGTGAAATTTTAGTATCTTTGAACTTGTTTATTAAAATTTTAATAAGTTTTAATTTAAGTTCGGCTTCAATCTCAATCTTAAAAAAAATTTAACAAACCGAGCTTAAGCCTGTTCATGAATCTTAATGAGTCAAATAAATTATAAATTCATATGTATAAGACTGAAGTTATAATTGAAATTTTGATTATATAATTATATATACAATATATAAAACATACTAAAAAAAGTAAATATTTCACTAAAATAATAATATCTATTATTTAAATATATAAATAACATATTTATCATATGTTCTATACATATTTTTGCGTCATTTAATATTTAGTATATTTATTATGTTATTTAAATAAATATGAGCCGAGTTTTAATATGCTTGAATTTGTTTATTAAATTTTAACGGCCTTGAATTCGAACAAACTTTTACCGAGCCAAACCTAAACTTATTTATGAACAACTTTATTTATTTACCGTGCTAGATATGAATTAGATTTCTATTATAAAGATATAAAATATCATATATCAGTGGCGGTCATAAACGATTTTCCTAGGGGATACAATGCATGGTCATATTAATTTTTACTGTAACATTCTCATCATCCATAGCAAAATGAAGGATGTTCCGCTTAAGGATAATTAAAAAACACTGTGAATGTTCATTGTTGGGATGATAGATGATGTGAATTCTACAAAACCAACATCAAAATAGAAGGTGATTGTAGACAGATAAGGTTACACAAACAAAAAATAAATAAATTATTACATAATTATGTGGACTCCTTGGCCTATTTTGGAAACTCGGCTAAAAATTAATTTTTTAACTTTTTATTTTTTTCGGTCACTCGAACTTTTTACATATTTAAAAAAACAAAAAATTCAAAAAGCCATGCATAGTCATGTTAATTTTTACTGTAACATTCTCATCCATAGCAAAATGAAGGATATGTTCCAATTCAAGGAGACTTGATTTAAAATAACACTGTGAATGTTCATGGTTGGGATGATAGATAATGTGAATTTCTACAAAATCAACGTTAAAATATAAGGTGATCGAAGACAGATAAAGTTATACAAACAAAAAATAATAATAATTATTACAAAATTATGTAGACTCGTAAGCCAATTTTGGGAACTCGAGTAAAACTTGTTTTTTGTTTTTTTTAAGTCACATCATCTCTTTGTTTTTTTATATATTTTTTCAAAAAAAAAAAATTAAAAAACCAACTCTTAACTTACTTTCCAAAAAAAGGTTGTGCCTCAAAACAAAACACTACAAAAAATGAATTTATTTACAATAACAATGTCACATTATTATTATGAAGTTTTTATATATGAATTTTATGTATGAATATAATTTTTGTTGTAGAAATTGATTAAACACACATGGATCTAAGGTTTTAAAATCATAAATATGACATTTTACACACAATATGAAATTTCATATTCAATTATATAACACAATTTGTGGTGTGAGCTATCAAGTTTGACTCTTATGGAGAAAAATTCAATTATATAACACAATTATATGGAATAAAACATTTCAATGTTATAAATAGAATAAATATTATCAGTTACCATTAATTTTTCCGGCCACGGCAAAAAATTTGATGGAGAGGCCAGTTGACCAAATCATAAAATAGATCACTCTAACCTGTAGAATGGATCACTCTGTCATTACAATCTGTTCAGCAGCCATGGCAGACAACCTATTCCAATGGTGTATTTTCTGGTCCATGGACGGTTTTAAACAACAAAGTGTGACAAAGATTAGCTGTAAGGCCCATTACTTATAAAAATTAAAGAGCTATATTTTGAATATTGCTTCTAATGAGATGAGAATATCAACAAAAAACCTTCTCTTGTAATGCTTGTACAAAGGCCTCAGAGGCATCACCACTAGCAATAGCCACAAAGTTTTACGATGATTTTCTCAAACCAACTAATCAACCAATAAACACGAAAAACATAAAAAAAAGAAAAAAAAATTAGAACAAATCGAGCAATTTATGGATCAAAGAACCAAAACAGAGGTAAAAAAAAGAAAAAAAGAAGCAAAAACAAATCCGATGACAGATCTGCATTGCGATGCTGAATACATATACATATGCATATAAGCATTCATGTAATTATGCATTAAGAGAATGCTATGTACACAATGAAGCTCAAAGATAGTCTTTGTGTGTGTATGCAAGCGCGTAATGTAGGTGAATTTTGAGGTAGATGAAAACGCATGAGAGGTGAGCTTACCCTGCTGCATTTGAGTGCTCCAAGAGAACTTTTCCATGGCAGAGTTAGGGCTTCTCTGTGACGAATCGCGCAAATTGCAGAGAGAGAGTAGATAATGTGTACGCAGATACACAGAGAGTGGGATAGTGTGTGAGAGAGAGATTGAGAGATCGAGGGAGGGAGAGAGATTGAGAGTGTTACCCAAAAAGCAACCTAAGAGGGGGGGTGAATTAGGTTTCTACAAATTAAAATTAATAATACCCCAATAAAATTAACTACTTGGACAACAAATTATTAGCAAGCACAATGATGAACTTAGCAGTAAATGATTAAGCAAAATAACAATGAAGTATAACTAACATACATGGTAAATCAAATGATTAATACATGGATATTAGATAGCTATAGTAGTAGTAGGAAAGTAAAGAGATTAGGGAAAAGGAGACAAACAGATTTATAGTGATTCGACTTCAACCAAGCCTACATCCACTTTTCAAACTTCACTTGAGATTTTCCACTATCTTCTAGCTTTACAAGGGTGCTAGCAACTTCTTTACAAATGGAGCAATCCTTTATGGATTTTACGCAGACTTCTCAAGCCCAAACCCTTACAAATCTTAGGTGATTCACAATTACTCTCAAGATTTCAAGAACACAGTGTTTGCAACACTTTTACAAGATGAAATGGTATTTTTGCTTTCTACCCCAATAAAATTAACTACTTGGACAACAAATTATTAGCAAGCACAATGATGAACTTAGCAGTAAATGATTAAGCAAAATAACAATGAAGTATAACTAACATACATGGTAAATCAAATGATTAATACATGAATATTAGATAGCTTTAGTAGTAGTAGGAAAGTAAAGAGATTAGGGAAAAGGAGACAAACAGATTTATAGTGATTCGACTTCAACCAAGCCTACATCCACTCTTCAAACTTCACTTGAGATTTTTCACTATCTTCTAGCTTTACAAGGGTGCTAGCAACTTCTTTACAAATGGAGCAATCCTTTACGGATTTTATGCAGACTTCTCAAGCCCAAACCCTTGCAAATCTTAGGTGATTCACAATTACTCTCAAGATTTCAAGAACACAGTGTTCGCAACACTTTTACAAGATGAAATGGTATTTTTGCTTTCAAAGATAGCTTACAATAAATATCTCAAAAAGATAGATATATAAAATAAAGTTTTGATTTTTCTGTAAATCTCACATAGGAAAGATGAGCTTAATGCTATAAGGCTCAGTGTATAATTTTTGAGAGAGGATGTAAACAAAAATTGAAGAACACTTCTCAGAGAATTTTTCAGAGAATAAATGTGAGTGATTATAAATCAAAGAATATTTTCTGATTTTTTGTCACTTGTTTGCATTAGAGGCTTTGATATATATAATGAAAATTATAGCCGTTTATAGCCGTTGTATTCATTTAAACTTATAGCCATTTATAGCCGTTGTAGTCATTTGAATTTATAGCCGTTTATAGCCGTTGTACTTCCATCATCACTAATTTGAATATCTTCCACTCCATCATTACAAATTTGAATATCTTCCACTTGAACCTTTTGAATCTTTTGGCCTTTTGAACCTTTATAGCCGTTGTACTTCCATCATTACTAATTTGAATATCTTCCACTTGAACCTTTTGAATCTTTTGGCCTGCTGCTGTGCTAGGTTGTTTGAACCTTTATTTTTGGCTCTTTGAACTCCTAATTTAATCAAATATTAAACACATTCTAACAACATTTAGGATAAAGGTTTAGATGAGAAATAATGGGACAAAATAAATTTTGATTCTATTTTTCTCTTTCAAATAAATCATCAAAACAAATTTTGGATTCTATTTTTCTCTTTTAAATAAATTAAAACATAATTAAATAAATCATCAAAATAAATAAGTCTAACAGAGAGATCGAGATAGAGAGATCAATCGATTGAGATCAAGAGGGATAGAGAGATTCA